CCAATTCGAACATTTACTAGACCAAAAATGGGTCTCAATTTCCAACTGAAAATCTGGAACATTCATGTGCGACTGAAAATTGATTTGAAAATATTTTGGTCATATTTCACTACTTTTGACTTCTAATTGGGTCAGATTGACCCCTAACATTGTCGAATCTTCATCATGAGTTTCAACAGAATTTTTGATTATTTTCATTTTAGTCTCCAATCTTTGGATCTTGCACATTTTTTTCATTTTTCGCTTATTTCTTTCTATTCTACTTCAATTCATCGAGATTCACCTCATAACACATTATATAATAAATTAGGCTATAATTCCATTAAAAAAATTACAAAATGTCAATATTTTAGAGTATAAATAAGTATATAAAATACACTTATCAAACACATCAAATGTAAACATTTGTTTGTTTTCAAACAAAACCATAATCTAACTTAACAAACACACAAATATACAAAAGATTTTAGTTAGATAACCCGCCATTTGTCTCTGGATTGAAATCATTGTATTAAATTTATAAACATCTTCAAGGTCGCATTACAAAAATCAACATCTATTTTTCCAATGCAAAACTGATGTGTGTATGTGAAGAATTAATTAAAACACTATAAATTCAGGAGTTGTTTCGATTCCCGCCTCAATGGTCAAATTTTTACTTTCATCACTCGTAAAATTCACACACTGCCACACTTCTTCTCTTTTACTCTTTTCCAATGTGTGATCTAAAGCTGAATCTTTATACCAACTCCTCACCCTCTTTAGTTTAAATGGATCTAACAAATTGCAAGTTGATACTTCAACAAATAAGGATTCTCCAAATTTTGATTATTTCAACCTCCAAGACTCAATTGGGCTAATAATCCCTTGTCAAAGATCTAACTTTCTCAAATGAGTGTTTGTGACTTAATCAAGACATATAGTATGTAAATACAATTTTTATTTTTATCTTATGTGCATATTTCTATCCATTAAACTTTCTAAATGACCCTTATAACTAGTTTTAGGTCGATTACTCCCAATTTAAATGAACATAGGATACCAAGTTTTTAGATACGCTTGCAGACTTAATCACTCAGATCATAAAGGCTACGAAGAGATGTTTCACAATGAGATAGTTTTTTTTCTCTCTTTCTTTCTTTTTTTTTTTCCTTTTTTTGCCATGATTAGTGCAATGCCCCTCATTAAACACTAATTCTCAAAAATGGACCCCCTAACTTAGGATTTTTACCTAATTTTTATCATATTGACAATAGACGATTTACACAAGAATTTACACACATGGAATCTCCATTAATATCCATATCTCCCTACAACAGTAAAATCACCCCCAAACTAATCTAAATTTGGTTGAATGATATATTTTATAGTAATTTTTGAATTTAGCATCTAAGTTCTACTATTTAAACCTATTAAGCATATGCCCATTATTTTATAATTTTAAACTTAATTCGTGTGAGCAAATAGTATCAAATTTTACATGGACAATAATCAATTAATTTAAGTATGTAACATATCCACAGTTCATAAATTAATACATATTTCTAAATATATTTGTTGGCAAAGCTACCAACCCACACAAGCACACAATAAACAAGAATTTTTTGAAAAAAATTATTTTTTTAAAAGAAATAGAAACACGCATTCACATATGAATAATAAAAACTCAATAATTTTTTCACCCCCAAATTTAAAATAGACATTATCCTTAATGTTTTAAAGTCTAGTATAGCACGTATATGGGTGGGGAAGAAAGGAAAAGGTACTCCCCGAATTTTCTGTTTGATATTTGAGTTGGATTGTTGGTTCAATTCATTCCTTTCTTTTCTAAGCTACCTCTTGCTTGATATCTATGTATCTTTGAAAAATGAAAGAAGACAAATATAAGAGTTAAGAGACTTTAAAAGCAATAATATGACGTATATGATAATCATATTTTTTTGACGTGCCTGGAGCTTTGAGAAATGTGCCACATATCTTTTCTACTGTTTTTGACTTAAATATATGATTTTCTTTTTTATAGTCTTAATATCGATATGATGACCCTCTTTATTGAAACAAAAACATACCTAAAACTAATGTACCTTAATAGACTATAGTAAATACAGAAAGCATAATAAAAAAATGGTAAGAAATTGGGTTGCTTTCCAATAAGCATTTATTTTAAAGTCTTTAACTAAACTTTTTGCACGAGTGCTTTATGGCACTTTGAATATGGCTTTGGTGATCCTATTCAACTTGCTCAATTTGACTTTGCTCCATATTTCACACGTCCTCGAAAATAGTATTTTGCCCTTTTTAATACGGTATGACTTGCTTAAATTGCCAAATTCAAACTCACTAAAAAGACTTCAATTTCCTCATCGAGAACTTTAATCACAAAATCAATGAAGTTGGAGGTCTGCATGCTAACCCCATCTTCTTTGAATGCCACTAATTCATTTGGCTCCTTCGTGATTAATTTATTTGTTTCTACATGTTTTTCTTCTTTAATTGGTTCCTCGGGTTGAATAATAAAGAGATCCTCCGTTGGCATGTTATTTGGCCCATATGAAATTACTTGATCTTCATTCCTTTATATTTTTGCATGATGATGTCTCCCCGTAACTATTTCACCGACATCATCTTGTTCATATAGATCACCAAATATAGCTTTCATTACTTCCTCTGGAGTCGCAAATAACTAGTATTTTTTGGTAAGATGCAATTCCTCCACAATATTCATAAGTTGGTTTAATCTCCTCATAAACAATAGATTTGATATTTAGTCCCTTCGGAAAGCCGTCCTTATCAAATAAAATAGGTTAATCATATCCCCACTTTTTAAGTTCTTGTCTGAAAATGAATTCTCCAAAGAGCATGTCACCTTCATTTGAGTCGGAATCAACCATTGTGAGATTTGACCTTTTGCATCTTTTAGTTCTCTGTCAATGGAGTAAAGAAAAAACAAGTAGATCAATTGAAAAAAAAAAAATCAAACAAAAGCAAGAAATAATTAAAACCAATATTAAATAAAAATAGTCCCCAACAACGGCGCCAAAAACATGCTGCCGATTTTTATATCCCGCAAGTGTACATATTGTAACAAGTAATATAGTAGACTAATAAGTCCGAATATCGTTCCCACGAGAACTAGTATCTAACAATTAGTTATAATATTTCTAACTTTAATTTGATCGAAAATAAATAATAAAGTCTTGTGATTAGTATCTAACTTATTCTAAATAAAACTAAATTAAAACGTATACAATTTATCAATTTGAGTTTTAAAAGTATGAATGTGGATGCTAGAACTTACAATTTTACCTATGGATCCACTTTAATTCACCGATCAAGATTTATTACTATTGTAGTATTCAGTCAAATTCTTCTAAAATATTCAATTTATCCATCTTGAGTTCTAATTGAGTTTATTTAGCTAATTCAATTTCATATTTCTATGTGAATTGACCTTAGTTAAACGAAGTATTTGTTCTAAAAATTCATTTAATGATCTCAATAATTAGTATAAGTATCTCTACATGTTATACTAAATTACCGAATTTTACTATGTGGTCTAAATCTAAAACTCACATCTCAATTCGTAATAGATTCACAAAATTATTGAATAATTGTCCAAAGAATTCAAAGTATTAAATTTATGAATAAAATCAACACGTATGCATTTAAAGAACTGGAATCTTGAACAAAGGAAATAAAGGGTCATAGAATACATTGTTCACCCTACCTATGAGTTTAGATACTCATAATAATGAAAGAAAAATAAAAAGTGTAAAATTCATAACCGAGTTTTAAAATGTTGATCGTGGAAAGAATTGGATCTTGCACTAAAAATCTTCTTCAAACTCTAACTTTTGCTCTTTTATCTTGATGATTATGTATTTTTCTCTCTTCCCCAAAATGTGTGAAACTTCCTAAAAAGTGTCAAAAACTTGTATTTATACTATTCCCCACGTTTGTGTCCAATGTATGATTTTTATGGGTTTCAAAACGCGCCAAAAATATGCCCTAGATATATTCCCAGGCGGCGCCTTAGTGCCATGCTGGCGGTGTCGTGGCACCACATTTCGGGTAAAATTTTGCATTGCACTTCCTTTAATATTTTTATCATAACTTGTATTTTGATATTTTTATCATAACTTTCTTTTTTGTTTTATAATCTGAACGTTTATTAGGCCAAAAATGGGTCTTAATCTCCAACTGAAATCTAGAACATCTTTGTGCGGTTGAAAATTGACTTGTGAAGATATTTTTGTCATATTTCACTCATTTTGACTTTTAATAGCATCCAATTGACCCCTAGCATTTTCGAATCTTCATCGTAAGTCTCAACACATTTTTTGAGTATTTACGCTTTAGTCTCCAATCTTTAGATCTTGCCTTTTTTTTTTTTCATTTTTCGCTTCTTTCTTTCAACTCCACTTCCATTAATCAAGATTCGCCTAATAACACATTATATAATAAATTATGCTAAAATTTCATTTAAAGAATTATGAAATGTCAATATTTAAGAGCAAGAATAAGTGTATAAAATACACTTATCAAATTCGAACTACGATACAAGTAATTTTAATTCACGTTATTGGTTTTCATTATTGCCATTAATGGTCAACGTCAATGACCGCCCATCCTCAATCGAAATCCTAGAACCAAACTAAGTGCATCTCAAGCCTCATTGTGGATGTACATTCACGAAGTCTGTTGTAAATTTAAGAATTCTACTAGAACAGAAGAATATTTAAGTTCAAACAATAGGACTTGTACATGACAAACATATATTTAGCTTTTCTAATCGTATCTTCACTTTTACTAGTATATTCAATAGGACCAAGATTGTCCATTGATTTATTTATTCCATACCTGCGTTGTAACTCCTCCTTAAACACCATCGAATTAAACCACCACCTTTCCATAGAGTTTTCTTCCCCCCTTCCTTCTGCATCCATACAATCCAAAAAATAGCAAATTTTGCAGGCTCTCTAGATTGAAAACTTATGAAACTAGCTGTTTGCTCTAGGTTCAGCTCTTATATGTTCTGCAATGAAGTTTCTGTACCAAGTTGTTGATAACTTTGGAGTTCTCTTTAGAGTGACCTGATCAACATAGTAAAGCCCAAAACGTTTTGTGTATCCAAATGTCCACTCAAAGTTGTCAAGGAAGGACCAGAGAAAGTAACCCCTCACATCTGCTCCCTTCCTACAGATGATCAGCCGTGAAGCAATGTCAATACTCAATTTTTATGCCTAAATTTGTTGCATTTTGGAATTTCAAATAGATAAAGAAACGGGAGAAACCAAATGCATGCTTTTATTGTTGATCGATCTTGTTCATGGATAAGATAAAAATTTATTTTTTGCATCTAGTGTGTTTACCTCATGGCTGTTGACAGGGCATCTAAGTAGCTGGCCTGAACCTTTACTCGCATGTTGTCATTTACAGATTCTTCAATGGTGGAATTTGAATCGCTGGCTTCGCAATATCCTAAAAGTCATCTTATATTTGTCAATAATATATCAAAATATATAAAGAAGGAAAAAAATACTGAAAAGAAATATCAAATTTTTTAAGGGGGAAGAACAAAGTAAAAGGGAAACTATATTATGCTTGTCTGCTGTACTAACCGTTTTCTGTAATAATAATTGGTGTATTATTGAATCTTTCTTTTAAATATGTGACTGTTTTTTCCAATCCTTGCGGGTAAGCATTAAAATAAGGCATCCCTGTCTGCAAAAATTAGACACTTTAGTAATTATGTAAGGACAACTGCTGAAACTATGAAGCTGGTAACAAACATACAGGTTCCCCGAGGGGAATGCCATCCTTCTTTGTCGTTTGTCTGATGAAACCTTCAGTTCTCGAGGTCCCTGGTATGGGTGTACATGTCGAAAACATGCAGTCTTGGACGTAGAAGGCGGCATAATAATTTAAGCCAATGAAATCCAATGACGACTGTAGTTTTGACAAGTCATTTTTTGAAAATTCTGGTAAAGCGGATCCAAGAATGTCCTTCATTTCCCTTGGATATTTTCCAAGTATTACTGGGTCCAGGATCCTGCCCACATTTAAGATGGCATTCATTATTAGTTCATTATCTTTTATCATAGCAAGTGTCATTCCTATATGGGTTGAATTTTTTAAGGGAATTACCAGTTTGAAAGGAAAGCTTGGCCTCTTTCTGCTGCTAGCTTGTCAGCGGTGGAGTTGCTTATGGGTTCAAACCATAGGCACTGTACGGTTAATCCTATTTTACCTCCTTGTTGCTTCTGGAATTTACCAACACGAATGAGTTTGGTGAGTGAATATTATCTTTTAAGAAACTACACTTAATAGTTTATTTAGCTCCTGCATATTCAAGAAACAAAATTGTTCTACAGTGCATGATATCTTTTCCATCTAAAATCACTGTAAACTTATCTTGTCTTGCTATGAAAAGTATAAAACCTTTCATAGGATCCTGAATTTCAGCATGTTTTATCTGTTATTTACTCTTGAATGTTACATTGGTGGACAGGAAACAGACATTGTACCTTGTATTTAGTTCTGTATAAATTAACAGCAGCTGCATGAGCCAAGATCACGTTGTGGGCTGCAATGAAGGGCTCCGTTTCTGAATTTCCTGTAGTGCAACTCCCAAATCCTTTGGAACAACGACTTGGTGGGTAACGGCCAAAACGATAAGCCTGAATGATAAACACATTTGGCTCATTGAAGGTGATCCAGTATTTTACTCTGTCCCCAAAATTTTGGAAACAAATGTCTGCAAAGTATTCAAAATCTTCCCTGGAAAGAAACAAAAAATTGGGTTTTTTTAAGATTAAGCCATGCAATTTCAACAACATTTCTTTTGTGTAAATGCTCGAGAAACTAATTGCACATACTGTAATTTGGGACTTAGCCAGGCTCCATATCTGTCCTCTAGTTCTTGAGGGATGTCATAGTGCGTTAGTGTCACGAATGGCTGGATTCCTGTGGACAAAGATTGAAGCATGAGAAATGAGGAAGTTGCTTCAATAATTTAATGTGAACTAGATCCTAAGACAGGAATTTTCTTGCTAAAAAATTATGAGTTCTCATTATTTTATCTTTGTCCTGCAGCCAATTTGTTCTTAAATTACAGACAGAGTCAAACCTTTGAGGAGAAGAGCATCAATAAGTTTGTTGTAGTAGTCAATGCCGGCCAAATTCACAGCCCCATATTTCCCTTCTGTTCTCCTCTCCATCACAAGAGTTTTTAAGTTAGGAAGTTGCATAGTCAACGTCGATTAAGATGCTATCATGCTATGCAAGTCTTGAATTAAGAAAATAGAAAGAAATATAGTTTTTTTCTGACATTCAATAATAGAATCCCCAAAGTAAGAAACTTTTGTACTTCTTGAAAAGGAGCGTATAATGATAAGAGAAAGGATAAAGATATTTGTACATCTCCCTTCATCACTTAGTGAAAGATGGATGATATAGCAATTTTATAATGGTTGGATTATGTGGGATGTGAAATGTGGTGTAAATTTGGTAGGTTAGGTGTAAAAGGAGGTGTACATGTAGCAAGATTGTAAGAAAAATATGCTCACTTGGTAGGATTCTTGCCCAGGAAATTGAAAACCTATAGCTGTTGACTCCCATAGAGGCCATTAGATCTACGTCTTCCTGTTTCAAGAAATTAAGGAATTTGTGGCCGATTGAGGAACACAATTCAAGGATTCAACAAGAAACAGTTGACTGTTAAAAAGTTGCTATCCTTGTTCTAAAGAAACAGTTCATAGCTGGGGTACCAGATAACGATGGTATTGATCAGCAGCAACATCTCCATTACTTCCATCACCTATAGTACCTGCAAAGTGTGTGTGTGTGTTAATGAATATTTATTATTTAACTCTAATTGAGGGTATTCAAATTTAGATCTTCATGGTACGGATATTTTTCTAAGTAGTGCTATTCATTGTCAGCGATTGCAGTATTCATATTATGAAGCAACTTGTTATTTGAGGCATTAGCCCCACTACTACAGTCGCTAAATATCAATAGTATTACTCTATTTTCCTTGGTTTCTTTTCTATCACATAATTGGTATGTAGTATTTGATAAAATTAAACCGTATGACTGTCCAGATTTTTACATCTATAATACCGTCTGATGCATCTTACTTCTTTTCTTGATTGACATAAGTAAAATCTCACATCTAATAAAGATAAAAACATATATCAATTTATCAAGATTTGGGCTACTTTCTTGATAAAGTTGACCTTTTGATAGAACCACAAATCTTATTGTATCAGAGCTCATTAGACTCTAAGAAGCCATTCCATCCTATAAGACTCAAAAAGTGAGCACACGAATTTCACGATTGATTTTTGGAATAAAGATAAAAACATAACTAATTTAACAAGGTTGACCTTTTTAAGATGGAATCCCAGATTTTAACAATGATGATGTTAATTTTCTTACCTGGTTCATGTGTAAAAACATCCCAATTGCTTAGACCTTTACCATCTGCAGTGTAAGCACCTTCATACTGCAAAAGTTGAGGAAGAACAGAAATTCATAGTGCACCAAAAAGTTACATATCAGCAAGGTAAAATTAGTACAAAACTTTTCAAATCTTTTTAGAAAATACCGATTATATTTGTACGCTGGAATGAATACGAATAAAGAAGGGAAATGTACACTTGTTCAAGCTTTTACAGGTTGCGCATAAGTACCTGATATGAAGAAGATGAAGTCCCAAAAAGGAAGTTCGGGGGAAATTGAGAGGCATCAGATCTGTATTTCAGAGTTTTGAGATGACATTCTACCAAGAAAGGAGATAGAAGCGAACCCAAAAGTAAGAAAACAATACGATATGAAGAAATCCCCATTCTGTGTTGCTGTAAGAGTGTTACTACAAGGGTATTCCTACCATCTACACGTGTTTTTATATAGATAAATTCATACATGTAGAGACAGACAGAACATGGGTGGGGGTAGGTGGGTGTGGAAGAAGAAGGAGTTAACACTATTTGATTTATTAAAATTTCACGTACTATAATCTTAGTTTGATGATATGATCAACCACTAATCTCGTCATCATTCAAACTTATCCAAATAGTATCTAGATAACTTAACTATGAGTTTGTTTGGTAGCAATTAAAATTCAATTAAAATTGAAAATATAGCCGTTATTGGGTCCCACTCGTCTAATAAAAGTCAACAATAACGGCTAATTTTTCAATTTTAATCCAATTTTAATCTCTACCAAACAAGCTCTAAGTGTTGAGTTACACTGNAATCTCTACCAAACAAGCTCCATGTCAAGAAACAGAGGCTTTGGATTAAAATCGGGATAAAGATTTTGCTGCTTAAGTATTTTAAATCTTACATGAGAAGGTATATTATCGTTCTAAGCATTATCTATTAAGAGTACCGTGCTTATAAAATCGCAACCAATTGTTGAGATCACGGCGGTCGACTCGCATATTATATTTTCAACTTAGGTATTATATTCACCAAATTTCATTGGCCCAAAATGTAACGATCCAAGCCTTGTGCTCAAGTCATTCTCCCACATATTGTCCGCTATGAGAAAATCTAAGCTCCTCTTTGCAACGATCGGAGCATCATGTTCGAGTATTATATTATACGTATTGTCTACTTTTGGGAGGATATTTGCCTCTTAACCCCTCATGACTTTATATCGCGTACCCCCAATTGGTCAAGTTAACTGAGGCAGAGGGAAAAATACGAGGNGCTGTAGAGGGTATCGCGAGACAGCCTGAGGCAGAGGGAAAAATACGAGGTATTCTATATTGCTTAGTCTAGTTTTTATGTTTCTCATAATGCACGTTCCTAGGTTATAATCCTGGAGGATGTGATAAAAAGTTATGAAGAGGTAAGGTGGTAGACGCTGTCCCAAAAGTGAACGGTACATATTGTATAACGGATTGGACACGAGACTTAAGTCATTACAAAAAAAATGCACATTTTTTGTAATGACTTGAATCTCTATGTCTAAGTCGTTAACTTACATACCGTATATTTTGGGAGAGTAGGAGTTCATCTACCCCATATGAATTTTATGCATCCCTAGGATTCAAATTCAAGTTATCTGCCTTACAAGAGATTCAAGTTGAATTTCTGCTATCAATTGAGCAACTTGTTCAATTGATACTAAGATTCAATTGAAATCCCTCATAAGGTAAAGATCTTGAGTTTAAATCTTTGGGGATGCGAGAAAAATCAATGAGTAAGATGAGTTTAACCTCTCTCAAAATGGACATTACATATGGTGCAACGGTTTGGACACGAGGCTCGGGTCGCTATAATTTGTCCAATTGGTACGAGAATTCAATTTAAATATCTCATAGTATAGAGGTCTTAGGTTCGAATTATGACGACGCGATAGAATATCATGAGATGTGCATTTTTTTAATGATCTGAATATCTATACTCAACTTGTTAAATTACGTACTGTTCATTTTGGGAGAGTTCAGCTTACCATTTACGATTTTTTATCGCTTTCCTAATAAGACAAGTTCTTCCATTATGGACAGTGCGTAATTTAACATAGAGGCCTTGGTCGTTATATAAAAAGCTCGAAAACGTGGGGTTGTGGATAATATTTTCTTGATTTATGAGATTGGAAAGAAGTCCTCAAATGGAAAAACGAAAATGAAACAAAGAGAAGAATATAGTAAAGAAAAGGGATAAACTTTTTTATTCAGCATTTTTATTTTGATGTGATGTTACAACCATCTATTATTGAAGAAACTGTTTTCGACTGAGTATGGGCTTGCAAACTGGGGGTGGAAGGACAATAATAGAAGAAAAAAACCAAAGAGTGGAAAAGATTGAAAAGACATTGAAGGCATGTTAGAGATGATTAAAATCTAATTTTAATCTAAATTAAAGGTAAATAATCAATATTAATCATATTTTTTCTGGGTCTTACATCTTTTCAATCATACATTTCAAAAACGTCTATCATATTTAAAACTTATTTTTAACTACACATTATTCTAATAAAATAATTTTAATTTATTTATTTTATTTTTTAATCACACATTCTAAAAATAATTTTACAAAATTTATTCCCAAAAATATATATCAAACGCGACTAAGATAGAAAGAGAAAGAAAAGTTATAAAACTCTGGATGTTTTTTTTGTGTGATTGAATTTCCATGAGGATAAGACACTTATTCATAAATATAATTGATAAATAAAATTTGAAATTTCTCTTTTCGTGTGAATAGTCATATAAATGCCAGTTTTCTAATTAATTAATTAATTATCCTGTGCAAACATGTGAAACGTGTATATATTATATTTCTAATTGGTTCAGTTAAAAATATTAATAAGATTTGATTCAAAATAAAAAATTAATTTTAATCACATATTTTACGAGATCCACAATTTTCTGACCATATATTTAATCAAAATTTACTAAAAAATTATTTTTATCTAAATCAAGGGCTATGTATATTAATTATTGTACAACCCTATTACATGTACAAATAGTTTGATAATTCAGGAATTGGCAGACAGTTTGACCAAGGGCGGACCCACATGGGGTCATGTGGGATCAAATGACCCCACAATTTTTTTTTCAATTTTCCTGGAGTTTTTTTTTTACTTAAACATTTTTGAATTCTCATTTTTGACCCCCACAAGAAAAATGGTCTCGATCCTCCCCTGAATTTGACCAATAATCGGATGTTTACGTCTCTTGAATTATCAAGTTGCTTGTACAAAATCATTGTGCACGTAGTTTAATTCGTATATAAATATGTATATATAAGAGGGTCAAATTTTGAGGAATAGAATATAAAATGGGAAAGATAAAGATGTTGGTGAGATTTCTTAATTAATGTGACATGAATGATTTAAGTAATTAACGTGACGGCAATGATTCAAATAATTAATAATGGTAGGGCCTTCCACGTCAATTCCTATCTGGAAAGAAACTCTAACATGTGACATGATCGGTTGATTTTAAAGACGCGCATCACATCATTACACATTTTTTTTTTTTTTTTGAAAATACTATTTGTACACTGAGATTTACAGACCTCCTCACAAGAGAGGGGCATATGACCAGTATGTCAATCCCGGTGTACAAATATCATGATCTTTTTTTTCTTTTCATAGGAGGGAAGTTACAGAGGATGTACACCAAAATGTACATCTAACATAATTCTAAGCTACTTTTTGTGTTTGTCCCCATTTTGTTTGGTGTGGATAAAAATTACATTTTTATTAAATTTTGATAAATATTAATTAAATTTGTGGTTTAAAATTAATAAAATTTATGAATTTTATAAAAATGTATTGTTAAAATAATTATTGATTTTTACTTAATTTTCTATTAAACTTTTTAAGCACATCAAATGGGGACCTTGATATTCCCCTATTTTGTAGATTTTCTTCACAAAAAATCGTGAAAAATTATTTTGGAGAACACATGATTAAAAAATTAATAAAATACTATGAGTCCACATATATTTTTTTTTCTTCTTTTTTACATTAATGGGATGTTAATACATTTTCTCTACTTTTAGAAAACTTCATGCTAGCAACTTGGTGAGAGCCCGAGCTCAATTTCATTCTTGTAAATCGATATGCCAACACAACAAGAAAGTCTGGGACCCAATAAAGAAAAAATCATAACAAAAACTTTCCTAACCCACCTTCGTAATGATGATGATTTTTATTAGCGAAATGTTGACTTTTATTTGGATTATGCAGAGTCGTGTTCTTTCATTTAAGTGTAATTTTTTACAATTTTAACCTTTTATCTTTTTGCCATCGACATCTCAAACCATCTGCGACTCTTAACCGTCCAAAAAAGATAAAATTGTAAACCTACCCTACTACTCGAGGAAAGCCTGTCCAGGGCCAGTCCAGGTCTGGACCCTCAAAACTCACAGCTCGTACACGTACCATTTTTCTTATTTTATTTTTTTTTCATTTTTTGCACTAAAAATAATTTCTTTTAGGAAACGGCAGCTCCATCTACCAGATCCAACAATCCTGATTCCTTTACCTACTACCACATGGCACGCTTGCCTGTTTGAGGCACATTATATGCTCTCATTTTTAGAAAAAAAAAATGATCCGTTAATGGGGCCCACAAGCCACCATAGTTGAATTATTCTCACATTATGCCATGTTTGGCACCCATTAAATTATATTACATTACATTAAATTTTTTTTCTCTTTTCATTACAACCACATATTCATTAAATAAAATAATATTACACACAAATCTAAAATTTTTCATTACATTTCCACCACACATTCTCCCATCAATAACTATTCCAAAAATTTTCAACTATCAAAAATGCAAAATAATGGGGGCCAAACAGGGGCTATAGAAGCAGCAACGGTAAATTTTCTTCTACTTTCGTACAGCAACAGCCACTTTTTGTATATTAATATGGTTCAACTGATTTATAAGAAGGGCGACTTACAAAAATTGTTAATCTCATGTTGTTAATTAAAAAATGTCTAATTTCAATGACTCTTGAAAAAATGATCAAATTTAGTCTATTATACCCTTAATGAAAAATAAAGTAATTTTTTTTTTCAATTTGTCACAAATTTCGAAAAGAAGAAATACCTTACATGATAAGTTACATTAAAATGATGTTCTCGATATTTTAAAAGTTGTTATCGATATTTGAATCCTATCTATTTTGATATTTCATTTATTTAGAACAAGATTTCATTTCAAACATGAGAGTTCTTTACATTTCATAAAGTTCTTGACATTTGAAATATAATTCTTGATATTTTATACATGTGTTAATGAGAAATATAGTTTTTATTGTGATTTGATATGTGTACTTTTGAAATAAGTATGATAGGTTACGTGTCAAAATTTTACTGGCCAACAAAATATTTAATTGTATACATATTTTTGTTTTTAGTGTGGAAATATAAGTTATTAACAAGGGTATTTTGATCTAAAATATTGTAAGATGGACATCGAACAAATTTTGAATATTTTTAGAAATGACCACGTGAATTATTCATGCTCAAGTGTTCGCGAACATCGAAATCCAAGCTTGCCTCCACACGTTGAATAATAGAGTAAAATAAATATTTCTGCAGCTCAATTTCTGTGCTTGTTATTGTGTGGTGCGCTTTCTGAGTGTTGATGTCTTTTTCAAAAGTGGTCCCGAGCAACTTTATCTACAATTGTCTTCATTATCGTTTCTTTCAATTCTGCTGTGGAACTTTTATCTACAATTTTGAATTTTTTTATTCACATGCATCCCGCGTGCATTCCGCGTGTCATTTGAGTATAGGTCAACAAACAAACGTGTCAAATTTATTTTTGACGAATTCTAGGAAAAATGTGTTAAAAAGAAAATGAATTTTAGGGAATTGAATTGTCTAGAATTTATTTTACTGAGAATTGTAATTAATTGTATTTGATTGGTATAATTTTCCACTTTGAAAATGTTGAAAGTTTTGTGTCCGTTTGACTTTATTTTTATGAAAATTGTTCATTAAAGTGATAATTTCTTTTACCATTTGGTCTAGCATTTGTTACAATTACCAAAAAAAAGATTAAAAAAATATCATATCGAATACCGTTCGTTTGGTTTTGTTTTACATGAAAATTGTCGATAAAAGCGATAATTTTTTTACCATTGTCTCTAGAATTTTTTTTCAATTGTCAAAAAAAAAAAAAACCATCCAAACTAGAAGAAAACAAATTCAAGGAATTCCTAAAAAATGGGCGCCTAAGGGTTGGGTGCGAAAATGAAATCCAAAGAACAATTATGCAATCAAACATTGAAAAAAGTGGAAAATTGAAAAAGATTTCTAACTTCCTCGAAAAGTAAGGGTAATCGAACCGGGCATAGTAATAATAAAAAAATAATTACATACGAGGTCCAGCCGCAGGTGGCCGCGTGTTGCAGGCCGGCGACACACCCCGTCAAACAGGTGGTTGAAATGAAATGCCACTGTTGAACCTCGATAAAATGAAAGGCACGTGCACACAATCTCCAATTGCAGTTTTCAAGGTACAGCTAGCATTGTGGGCCTCAATTTTTGGTTAAATGTGGTCAACAATTGTGGTTGTTTTTAACATGTACTTAATGTTGAATTTAAAAAGAAATGGGTAATATGAATTTTTGCAACACAGCCACTGTTTTAGAGTGGCTATTTTTAAAAATAAGTTCATTCTTTAAATTTAAAAAGTTAAATTCACTCTATATTTTTAACGACATGATTATCTTTCTATATATAAAAAGTACCTATTTAACGGAATTTGTTGGTTTAACCGAAAAACTAACGGAATTTGTTGTTTTAACGGACTATGTAACGGAATTTCTTGTTTTAAACATACAGTTGCACCTTCCTTCAATATTTTTATCATAACTTTGTATTTCAATGTCCGATTGAGGCGATTCAAAATTATGTGTACTTTTGAAATAAGTAGATAGGTTACGTGTCAAAATTTTACTGGCCAACAAAATATTTAATTGTATACATATTTTTGTTTTTAGTGTGGAAATATAAGTTATTAACAAGGGTATTTTGATCTAAAATATTACAAAATGGACATTGAACAAATTTTGGATATTTTTAGAAATGACCACGTGAATTATTCATGCTCAAGTGTTCGCGAACATCGAAATCCAAGCTTGCCTCCACATGTTGAATAATAGAGTAAAATACATTTTTCTGCAGTTGAATTTCTGCGCTAATTATCGTGTGGTGCCTCTTTATGAGTGTTTATGTTTTTTCCAAAGTGGTCCTGTGCAACTTTATCTACAAATTGTCTTCATTATCGTTTCTTTCAATTCTGCTGTGGAGCTCTAACCTACAATTTGGACTTTTTTATTCACATGCACCCCGCGTGCATCCCCCGCGTGTCATTTGAGTATAGGTCAACAAACAAACGTGTCAAATTCTATCTGTTTACTAGTTCTTAATTTCTTTCTTCAACAATTTGTTTCATACTCCATTATTCATCTCTGCACCTTCTGGCGCAGTTGAAACGCGACACTGTCCAACCTTGCCAGATCTAAGCGCACTCCTTCATTCCTCGTACTCGCTTTGTGTATTCTTGTAGATCGGCATAGCAGGAAGATATAAATAAGGGTCCGTTTGATTACAAATATGAAAAATTGATGGAAAGAAAATGAATTTTAGGGAATTGAATTGCCTAAAATTTATTTTATTGGGAATTGTAATTAATTGTGTTTGATTGATATAATTTTCCACCTTGAAAATGTTGAAAGTTTTGTGTTTTTGTTTTTCATGGAAATTATCCATAAAAGTGATAATTTTTTTTACTATTTGGTCTAGCATTTGTTTCAATTACCAAAAAATAGAAAGATTAAAAAAATATCATACCGAATACCATTCGTTTGGTTTTGTTTTGCATGAAAATTATCAATAAAAGCGATAATTTTTTTACCATTGTCTCTAAAAATTTTTTTCAATTGCCAAAAAAACAAAATCACCCAAACTAGAAGAAAACAAATTCAAGAAATTCCTAGAAAATGGGCGCGTGAGGGGTGGGTGCGAAAATGAAATCCAAAGAAAAATTATGCAATCAAACATTGAAAAAAGTGGAAAATTGAAAAAGATTTCTAACTTCCT